TTAGACTATACTACAACTACTAAACGTGTTAGTAAGTACTACTACTACTACTACTACACTACTACTACATACAAAAAATAAAAATAAAAACATCTACAAACAACAATTACTTCAAAAAAAATGAACAAAAATAAGCATGCAAAATAAAAACTAATTCAAATAAAATAAATTACAAAAAACCATGCAAAATAAAAACCTAATTTCAACTAATTAACTGTAGCAAGTAGCGTTCTAGTCTACCAGTACGATGAGCAAACCAAATCTAGAAAGGATACCACTGCAGACAATTTGTTGTTTCAGTGGCTTCCAAAATTGGCCCCCATTCTCAGAGTCAAAATTAATTGCATAATGTCGCAAAGTTGTAGCCATCAAAAGGATCGGTTGTTTTACTACCATCAAATTAACTGCACTTCCTTCTCATTTGTTGGACAATCTATAAAAACAGTTAAATAATATTTTATTTTCAATTTTACAGAACCGTTTCTTCAACGGTTATACGTACGTTAATAAATAATAAATAAATAACATCTATTACGTATCCATTTTCAAATATTCTTAGCTATCTCGAGAATAAGACCCTTTCAGAATTTCGATTAAAATAATTAAAAAAGAATTACACTATTTGTGTAAGTTGAACTGCTAAAAGAAAAATTTCTTTAGAGAAAGCAGGAAATAATGTACTCCAAAATGTATCTGGTAATCCGAGTGTGTAATAAGCGAGATACGTTGGTAGAACATCTTCTCAGGGATGAAGGTCTAGTCAGAAACATATTAGAGGCAGAAATGTGGGTTATGAGGAGTAGAGGTAATAAACTAAAACGGTCATTTTGTTACCAAAATGAGTAATAAGTAAAAGTAAATTACCTTATAAAATCAATTTTATTGTGCTGAACTGAATTAACTCGATCGATATTCATCAATAAATTTCTATGCTTTTCCTAGATTATCAAATATGGCTGAGTAAACTTCATTCTGTTCATTTACTTAATTTAATTAATACGAATAATATAGATACTTACCACAATTAAAAATGTGACTCCAGAACCTATTGTGATACAAATTTCGTATGTACTACTACTTTTTTCAATTTTCTTTTAACAAAAATACACATTAAACATCATAACAAAAATCCTACTAATGGTAGCTCTAAACCATTGCCCGTTTCCAGTGCGGAGTGAGCGAGAAGGAAGTATGTCAACGATGAGATTAATATATTTCACAGCATTTCAGACTGGTGCGAAACATTTAAAATTCGAAAAATACAAATATTTCTTTAATTGTATTGTATTGTTACTGTTACCTTCACCGAGTAATCTATTAAATTAATAAATTTATTAAAACTTGGTTTTAATGTTTTTCCTTTCATAAAACATTAAGTTTTAATTACTTTAAAAAAATATTCTCTGAAAGAAACTATAAAGAAATACGTATTTGTAACTCACAAAATATTTTTCTACGTTTAAATATGTTTTTATTTTATTCTAACATATATCAGCCCGGCCTCCGGCGGGCAGGGCATTAAAGAAAATCAGTCTGTCATATACTCGAAATAGGTATACTACGTAGGTATACTCCAAACAGCTTGCCGTATTATTTCTTATTTAGTATTACTTGTAATACATTTCCGATTGCTATTTAAGAAATGTATAAATTTCCTAGGAAATGTATCTAATATCATTTATTATTACACATTTGGGGGCGATTTTAGGAATTATATACGGTAATTTACCTTTACTTATTACTTATTTTAGTAACAAAATGACCGTTTTCATTCATTAACCTTTTCTTCTACAAAACTATTCTTTTAAATATCTATTACTGATTAGTGAGAGCAACTGGATGTTTATTTGAATTGAACTGAAATAACAAATTTTCTGCTTTATTAACATATAAATACTATACTTGAAACAAAAATGCTACCACCTCTCTGTGACCTCCACATCTCCCCTTATAGCCACCCTATCCGCCCAAATGAACAAAATTAAAGTTTTAGCAAGTTTTAACAAGTGATTCAATCTGATACATAAATAAATAAATAATATTTAATTTAGTTTCAACAATTATGACAAAAAATCAATTTAGAAAAGCTTTACCTATTATCCTAGATTACATTATGTTAATAAAACAGTTTACAGAGTAAAAACAAGATACCTGTAAGAGAAAGACAAGAAAACAAATGAAATTACATAGAAATAATACCTGAGAAGAAATACAAAAAGTAAGCAAAAAACACGATGTCTTCATTCTTCTTAGGAAATACCTCATTATCTGAAAGAAATAGTGCAAAATTAACAGGACTAACGGCAAATACTAATAGCTTTGGTAGAGAAGATCGGACAGATTTCGCCAAGGCAAGCTGGGCAGTCGCCTATTGGTCCTATTCCAGATAACCCACTGTACCCCGTCTGAAAGGAAGTGACGCTAGAGTAGAATCGCGAAAAGTGTATAAGACACTTTTAAGATCAACTAAAAAGCTAAGCCCAAGGGAAGTCGTTCGGGGAGGCCCTCCCTAGTTGTCAAAGGGTAAGAAGAGAAGAGAACACGATAACGAAACGTTGAATCATGTAGAAGACGTAGGGTAAATGCGAAGCAAATTAGGAAGAACATGCAGTAGAAATGTTCAAAAAAAGTCTAGTAGAAAAGTGCCTTTTATATATTATGACCATTTGTCATGTGTTGAAAATTTTTTACAAAATTTCGCTCTTGATATCTGTTTTTTGGGAGTGGTAAAACCCTAAATGGCAAGTTTTTCATATCTACATACATAATATTGTAAATTGTATAATTAGATTTAGGCGAAAGTGATTAAAATTGGCAATTATACTTGCGTAATGTACCATAATTCCTTTCCAAACTGTATAAGTACTCTGTTTACCTTTTTGTTTCCAATATCGTTTTCTATTACATTTTCAACTAGTTATTGATTACTCAATAACGGCTAAGTAAATAAAATACAGCGATTTTTTTCTTAAATTAATATCCAGTCGCTATGTTATTAAAGAACGGTTTTCAGTTAGCATTTTTACAAATAATGTGAACTAGCATAACTTAAATGTTAGCTCGTACACAATAGTTATCCTTATTATTAATATACAATTGTGCTACTGAACTCGAATAATAATAAAATTTACAAACAGAAACTGAATTTTGTGTGCAGGCAGTTTTATAATTA